CTTGCGGTACCTGACCACATCAGTGACAAGTCTGCACTTGTCTCATCGGAGGAGAGCAAGAGCTTGGTTGGGGCATCGCATGTAAGGCTCGCAGCCCGTAGGGTTTCGGAGATTCGGAGTTCAAGGTGCAGGTGATACGGGAGCACAGGAAGAAGCCGAACCGAAGACAGCACACAGAAGAAGAAGAAGAAGATAGTGGAAAATGCAAAGAAAGAAGACTGCCAGGAAGAAACTCGCATGAGTACGACAATGTCCTGCCTCAGCCACGGGAAGTGCCCGAGCCTCGCTGACCGAAGAAAGTTTGGCCTCAAGATCCAAGCAAAAACGGCGGGGAGTTTTGGGAGTTTTCGGGCTCGGGAAGATTGGGCTGCACTTCCAAAGCGAAAGCCTGGCATAGGAAGAAGGGGGGGGGGGGTTCCACTTCTTGGGGCTGTGGATGCTCCACAAGCAGCTGACAGAGCAGCTGTCCAGAACGACCGAGACCGAAGGCAGAGGAAGTGCTGGGTTGCGTGCGCTTTTGCTGTTGCCTTCGGCAGCCTGAGATAGCGCTGCTATACTCTGCTCTCGGGCATGAAGAGATGTCCGATGTCACTGGAACCCAATGCCCTCCACAGAGAGCGGGGCCTCAATCAGCGGCTTCACGCATTCCTGGGAAAGATCCCCCAACAGCAAGCAGGGCTCTGCGAGATTAGCGTTGCGCAGCATCGCAGCCATGACCACCAAGGCAAATTCTGCCCCCACCGAGTTTGAAAAGGGCCCCTAAACCCTAAAACCCAATAACCCTAAACCCTAAACCCTAGCCCTAAACCCTAGACCCAATCGCCCAATAACCCTAAACCCTAGCCCTAAACCCTAAACCCTAGACCCAATCGCCCTCCCGTCTCCTGCGAGGGGGAGATGAAGTCGTCGAGGTCGCCAAGCTTCACGCCGCTGCTGAAGGCCATCAAAGGCAACCTCAGGGTTTAGGGTTTAGGGTTTAGGGTTTAGGGTTTAGGGTTTAGGGTTTAGGGTTTAGGGTTTGGAGTTCAGGGTTTAAGGATTAGGGGTGCCTTGAGGAGGGTCGGAGGGCTTCTGTTGTGCTACAGAGGCTACATGGGCAGTTCTCTACAGTAGGGTCCCTTTAGATCCCGTCTGTGAGAAGAAGGACCCAGAGAGGGGCCCTACTTTGGAAAACTACCCAGGGGTGAAGCTGGGAGGTGGGCGAAAGGTCGTGGAGCTTCGTGGAGCTTTGTGGGTGGCGCTTCGGAAGCCCTCAAGTGACCCCGCGACATTTTTCCCAGACCGCTTCGAAAGACATAGACAAGGACTCCAAGCTCACACCCTTTGCTTGAGCGAAAGCACCTCAACACGTTTCCCAAAACCTCCGAGGCACTGCGCGGCATCAACGTACCCCCCTGCGAGTCCTTCAGGTGCGGTGACCGGAGGCTGACCACCAAAGGAACGACTGACAAGAAAAAGACAAGGAGGACATGCTTCTCAAATACATGGTTAATTATCAGGATCGTAATGCAAATAGTAGTAACAATAACAATACGAATAACAATAAAAATGAACATAACAACAAGAATAACAATAACAATAACCAAAACAAAAACAACAACCATAACAATAACAGTAACAATAACAACATGAAGCATACAAGAACAGTACAAATAACAGTAACAATAAGCAGGCTAGGCAGGCATCTGGGCCACCCCGCGCTTCGTCAAAAGGTACCGGGGAACACTGCGAGCCCACAGAGGCCGCGCGAGGTGCCAAGCGCTCACGCGATCGGAGCTTCAACGTTTCCCAGGGGTTTAGGGTTTAGGGTTTAGGGCATAGGGTTTAGGGTTTAGGGTTTAGGGTTTAGGGTTTAGGGTTTAGGGTTTAGGGTTTAGGGTTTAGGGTTTAGGGGTTCAGGACATTGGAGCTTTGCTATATAGACTTCCTCTTCGAAGCCGCAATTTTTGGGCCCCTTGGGTTCCGGGTTTAGGGCTGGAAGGTTTCGGGTAGGGGGTTGTTGAGGAACCCTAAACCCTAAACCCTAAACCCTAAGCATCGTTGATGCAAGAGAAGGGTGGGCTTAGAAGAGTCTCGTGCTGGATGGCAACCTCTTTCAACCGGGAGCCGAAGCTGCTTTGGGCGCGAGCTTGCGCCACGAGGCGAGCTGCTGCATCCGCAGAGTTGACAGAGTAGGGATGGGTTGTGCACATGAAACATATGGGTATTTCCCAAACAGGGGCTGCCCGTTTCTACCCCCAAGTAGAATCGAATCCCCTAAAACAACCCCGCCCAAAAGGGCACCCCCTACTTTCGGAAGCCCCCAAGATCACTTCTCGTAGGCTCCAAACTGCCAAGGTCAGAACAGGAGGAGCCGCTGCTTCACCTCGAATCGAAGGCGTGCTGAAATCACCACGACTTGGGCTATAAAAGTTCGTGGGAGGTGTGAGGTAGGATTTTGGGGCTCAGAGTTTAGGGTTTAGGGTTTAGGGTTTAGTGTCTAGGGTTTAGGGTTTAGGGGTTCAGGGTTTGGGCTTTAGGGTTTAGGGTTTCGGGTTTGCGAAGTAGGGTTTCGGGTGACTGGAGGTCTGGCCCGTGTTGCACGCCAGGAGGCAATGACGGGATCGGCATCGTAAGCCTTGGAGCTGAGAAGCCGCGCTATGAGAGGCACCCTTTTTCTTCTTTGGTTTGTGGTTTAGGGTTTAGGGTTTAGGGTTTGGGGTTTGGGGTTTGGGGTTTAGGGTTTAGGGTTTAGGGTTTAGGGTTTCGGGTTTAGGGTTTAGGGTTCGAAGTTTGTATAGGGCCTCCGGAGGTGAAAATACCTGGCTTTCCTTGCTGCCCGGCGACAGCAATGCCTTGGACGAAAACCCCGGTGCCTCCCAGCGGCACGCGAACATTCGGGAGCCCTTGTCACCCTAGACCTTCTAAACTTTTGGAAACCTTCAAAAAGCCTTCTAAACCTTCTAAGCCTTCTAAACCTTCTAAGCCTTCTGAACCTTCTAAGCCTTCTAAGCCTTCTAAGCCTTCTACACCTTCTGAACCTTCCCCCCAAGCATGTGCCTGCTGCAAGCAGAACTAAGGAGATGGGGTGATTGAACTCCGCAAGCAAGGCGACAAGGAAGCCGATGATGTAATGATGCAGGTGGACGTAGACACCCGCAGTTTGCGACCTGAGTAGCTCTGTGCATCTGCATCTGCACTACAGAACTTAAGGCTTTCGGGATAGGGCTCAGGATTTAAGGTTTAGGAGTGAGTCCAAGGAGGGAACGCAACGAAGAGGTAGAAGCCGTAGAAGAGCCACACAGACAGTCTGGAGCAGCAGTACGCTAGAAATCCTTCACAGGGACAAACAGCGCGGTGTGGGGTTTGGAGGGTTTAAGGTTTCGGGTTTCGGTTTTGGCTACCCAGCGCGCCTGAGAGCGGATTGTGCTTGAAAGCACAAACGAAGTGCCAAAGCCTCGTTCAAACTTACTGTTTGAACAACCTTCACTGCCTAAACTGCTCGCATGAGTAACATATCAGAACTTGCTACCGAAGTCCGTAATCAGCTATTTATATAATACACATATATGTACACATATTTGTCTTCACTATCTTTTCATTTATGTATGCATTTACAGTATGTTTACAGTACATCTATAGGTGGTAATAATTTATGTGCAGCATTTTTTGCGATACACATCTGGATAAAGCAGAGATTCAAGCATGAAATGCACCTTGGGATGTTCCCCCTTATACTCACAGTCCTTAATAAGGATTATAATAGGGTACTATAATCATCCCTACTAAGGACTGTCAGTAGAAGGGGGCAACATCCCAGAATACACCTCTCGCTCCAAGGAGCAGTAGGCCGAGCGCGGCTGCAAAGATTGCGCCGGCGATGAGGAGGCTCTTGGCTCCGCCGTTGCGGAAGTAGGCGCTTGTGAAAGATATCCTGTGGATTCTACGGGTGTAGGGTTTGGGGTTTGGGGTTTGGGGCTTGGGGTTTGGGGTTAGGGCTTAGGGTTTAGGCTTTCGGGCTTGAAGCTGAGGATTCAACACAAACACAAACAAACACACACAGACACACACACACACACACACACACACACACACACACACACACACACACACACACACACACACACACACACACACACACACACACACACACACACCAACGAACAAACGAACAAACGAACAAACGAACAAACGAACAAACAAACAAACAAACAACACCCTCATTTGCTCAGAGGAAACCCTTTAAGCTCCCAAACAGTCCTGGAGAGCTCCTCCACGCAGTCAAGGGAGCCCCAAGCCTGGTTCGGGGGCCGTCTCGGGCCGTCTCGGGCTTATAGGGATGTTTAGAGTCTTTAGAGTTTAGGGCTCCGCAGGTTTAGCAGTTTTTCGGGTTTCGGGCCTCCCCAAAACCTTTCGGGCTGCGCGGGGTCTCCTCCAAACTCTTCTTCGGGGGCCCTTGACGTCGCCTTCATCCTGGACCCTCCACGTCTGCATCCTGCAAATATATCTGAGCCGCAGGCAGGCCCGCTGAGCAGCATGATCCCCACAAAGGCGAAGCCGCGGGGCCGCGGCTTCCGGAAACGGAAAAGATAGGCAAACCTGCGGTGGACTCGTGACGCAGCAGGGTCTCCTCTTACCCTGAACTGTCAACCCCCAAGCTTTAGGGGGCCCCGCAAATCCCTAACCTTCTCACCCTAAACCCTATCATACTCGCTAAACCCTACCAGATCCTGCCCAGAGTGCGCCTGTCTGGCAAGTGCACGCCGGTGAGGACAGCCAGCATGAAGCCCATGACGAACCTGCGCGCTCATCCGGAAGTCCGAAACCCCCCCCCAGCTCCCAAATTCGCACAGGACAGCCCCCAAAAGCCCCCCCCCAAACTACCATAAACCCTAGAAACCCCAAATCCTGAACCCGAAACCCCAAAACCCTAAAGAATTCTGCTGAGGCACATCACCTGGAAGTCGTAAACCACCTCCAAGAGCCGGGTGTCCGGATGACAATCGCGGGGAACACCAAACCTCATTAGAGTGAGTTAAAAAGGGGGGGGATTGGGTTCAGGGTTTCGGGTTTAGGGTTTGGGGTTTAGGGTTTAGGGTTTAGGGTTTAGGGTTCAGGTATTTTAGCTGTGCCGTGCGCGCGTGCTTGTTTTCGCGCGCCTTGGCGCCATCTCTGGCCTGCCCAGGTGGGTTCTCAGGGTTCAGCGTTTCGGGCTTGGACCCTCAACTTACGATGGGCCAAAGAAGAGATCCGACGAAGGCCGAAGAGTCCATAAGAGTCTTCGAGAGAGCGATGATTTCAAATGCTTTAAACTCCTTTCTTACTATTCTTACAGTCCTTCACATTGTGATAAGCAGAACGATTTTATGTGCTGACAAACTGGATCCAAGTGCAGCCGCGAGACTGGCAGACCATGCGCACCACGCAGTACTGCAACCTCGGATAGTGCAGACCACGCTGGCCACAATGCTCCAACATCAACGAAGCCATTTCAAACCAAATCGCAAGAGCAGCAGGAACCACGCTGCCAGCGCTGCATATTGCCTTTTGAGGCTGCTGGGCGACCAACAGGGAAAGCAGGAAAAGCAAACAGAGAGTCGCGTACGTCAAGGTGGGTGCATGAAGCCAGCCATGGCCTCCAAGGCACTCGATGCCCATGTCGCCCTGAAAGGTCAATGCCGTCTGTTGCTGCGCTGTGCAAGCATGGAGCTTTCCAAAGTCAAGTGGTTTCGTATGTACAAATGTACAACTTGTCAATTGTACTGGCATGGCCTTCGTGGCTCAAGCCGTCATCTCCGATCAATGAAGTATCGAAGCCCTTGGTCAGCGTGTTGTTTGGCTCTCATTGCACCGTGCATTTATGACATGCAGAGATTCGAGGCTGTGACACACAGACCACATCTCAACTTCAGGTGGCGCTGATAGATTCGACACACATGAACCTATCTTCGGCCCCGGCAAATCCCGAGGTGGGCGGCATCATTCCAACCTCAAGAAAACATCGCAGGGACTGTAGCTGACGTGTACTTCTTGCGCAATTTTTGCGTTTGCCCAACTGAGTTGCCTGCTGTGCTTTCTACATTGAAAGCCGTATTCCGCGTATGCGGCGTGCTCATGATAACAAGAACCTTGAGTGATGCTTCGTGGCTTGGGTAGACAATGAGGTAATCGACTTATCAGCTGTCAATATGAGTCTATACGGCATACAAACAATCGGCCGCACCAACAAACTCGTGATGCAGCGATGTGCGCCTATGATGTGCATGCTGTGGCATGCGCACACTTGCTTGAACCAACAGGGAATGCGACAGCTGAACCATGCAGATGGATCACTGCGAACGCTTGCCTCAGTAAGTTTCGCACCTTGGGTTGTAACACCAGACATTGCAACAGAATGATGCCGGCATGTCCTTCAGTTGACAATCCAAAGTGTATAACTTAAACACAAAAACCGGGTAGAAGAACTGGGGGGGAGGGCAGGAATGCACAAACAGAATACCTACGCAGCCCCTTGGCAAAACTGAATGATACGAGCACGACGAAGACAATCTCGGTCCCTATCCTGCGCTCCGAGGCAGTGGTGCAAAAAGGGAGGGAAGGCAGGGAGGGCATGAACTCACGAAAAACGCGATCTAGAAAAGACTCGAGCGATTTCATGCTCTCGGCGCAAGCACTGAAGCGACGTGGGCTCGGAAAGCAAAGAGGCTAAGCTCGTGGAAGGCGCCATGGTGCCCCCTCCAACGCAAACCCAATCCTGCAGACAGCAGCAAAGTGTGAAAGCAGCGGCTTGTGTGCAGTCAAAAGCTTAAGTCTGGAAGGAACGCACTCAGGATTCCGTCTTCAAGGCAATCCGTCTTCAAGGCAACTGAGGCATTCTACTGTATTATACTGTAAGAATTGTTCACAACATGATCGGCTGCACCAGCTTGCTGCGCAGGAACTCCATTTTCCATGCTTCGGACTTAGAGCTGGCGGCATCCAGGTAACTTGCCCTTCATCGTGCGCCACTGCCAATCGTCGATCTTCAAGTCGCCCAGCTCATAGCCTTCGTATTCCACCTCGACTGCTTCCAAGCCGTGAAAAACTCACATTGATGCCAACGCCCCAGGCAATCCGGAAACTCGATCAGCTTTTTTGCCGGGGTGTGGCACTGCGCGACTTCAGCAGGACAGGGTCTAACCACAACATAACCATAACGCACGCCGCCACATATGAATTGACCCACTTGGCGAGCTCCGCCTTGTAAAGGTCAATCACCCGGCACCTGGCGGGTCCTCCTTCACAAAGTGCTGCCGCGAGCATGGCTGGGTTGCCAACCATCCACTTGGACACGTCCAAATGTCCACTGCCTAAAGAGCACCGTCTGGAGTCACGAGGATGTCATTGGTGAAAATCCCAGAGAATGTGACCATGCTGGGTGGCCCATTCTCCGCAAGGTTAGCCAAATGCCCAGCTGCCTTCAAACGTGCTGTAGAAGAAAGCTCGGCCAAGCACGACCTCAAAGGGCGGCCCTCGGCAACCTCCCAAACAACTGCCACCTTACCTTTGTCCAACCAAGAGCTTCTGGCACTTCGCTGCACGGCGGCAGCTTGCTGGGCAGAGAAGCAGAATAGATGGGGAGGAATGAGAGCCGCGCCAAGGTGAGCGTCCAAAAACGCAACTAATATAGGAAAAGGAAGGAGGGAGAGAAGCAAAAGGGACAGTCTTGTGCCTTTCCAATGTCCGGGTCGGCGACATGCAGCATCTTTGTCATGCAACAGGATAGACCAAGTCTGGTCTTCCCAACCGGGCGCAGTGGAGCACCTTCTGATTAAGCTACCACGCAGCAGGGCTGGAAGATGGTTGGAAACCTGCGGCGCCAGAGCAGGGAGGACCGCACACGCATTAGTCAAAGCTACGAACTCACGTGGCTCTTGCCGATGTTGTGCTGACAGAGAGAATGCCCGAATTGGCTTTGTTTCCCAGAATGAGAAGGTTATCACGCAAGGCACATCTGAATCTCTTGCACCCGAGAAACCTCAAAAAAAGGGCTAGCTAGCGTGACATGCCACTCTGCTGCTGAAGGCGGTGCGAGACACCAACAAGATATCCAGGCACTCACAAAGTCCTGACAGCCAACCAAGGACATACACGGACTCGCACCACAAGGTACAAGCTCTGCTACCATGTGAAAAGTTGAAGGTGCTTCTGGTACCTTTTCCTTCAAAGCACGAACCCAAATCTGCCTCAACCAACATGTGAGCTAAACTCCTTCAGAACAAAGTTTACACACTGCACACTCACTCAAAGTAGCGTATTGGGCAAAAACATGAGCTGACATTTGCAGAAGGCTGAGTGGGCTGACGTCCACGTCATGGAACACGTAAGCACGTCTCCCTTCAGTGCAAGTAATTTCGGGAAAGAGGTGCAAGCGCTTGGTTTCCAGAAGCCGAGAGTGTATGAAGACTTCAAGGTTGGAAGATGGCAAATCTGCCACCGTTCCACCACCTGCTTAGCCTCGTGAAAACATCGACAGCTTGAATCTGAGCGCTGGGCCTTTCTTGGTGTCGCTGTCTTCCGAGTTTGTTGGTTGGTTCTTGGATTGGATCCGTTTCACACCGAGTGGAAAGATCTACAAGCCGCTAAAGCAAAAAGGCCCGCAAAAAGCTTTCCTTTGGCTCTGTGTAGCTGATCCTGTTTTGCATTTTCTTGTTCTGATGCACAGAACTTGCCACCTGGCCCACCGCCTAGACCTTCGATGTCAGTGTCCAGCAGTTCAGCACTGCAGGAGTTGAGCGGCTTTCAGAGTTTTTTTAAATTTTCCAAGATTGGAAGGTCTTGGGGCCAAGACTCGTGTGGCCAAGTCATGTGCATGCTAGTGAACACTTGCTGATTTGCACAGAAAGAAGGTGAACTGTTTGGCATTCTTGCTCAACAGTAAACTCGTTCGCTTCCACACCAGTCAAAAAATGAGAAATTAGGCAGAAATCCTCCAAGCATAAACTCCACCGACCTCAACCAAGCACAGGCTCTTCTTCTCTTTTTCTCAGTTTTGAGCCAAAATTCACAAAGTGCGCAAAACCACACACAAATTCAGGTGGGAGAAGAAAAAATGCTTTGAAACTACTTACTGCACAACAGAAGATTTTTGAAGATCTTAGATCTTGAAGAGGGTAGGTGGATCGTCGAGAGCCAAGTGCTGTGCAATCCTGCCAGTCAAACTTGGCGGTCGCCTCGTATTCGTAAAGACCAAAGTTTTAGAGGAATCGATCCCGCACCTCTTGTCCGTCGGACTGTTGGACAGCCTGACAGCCTAGGCGCATGCATCAATCTCCCAAACAACACGGTCCATTTCAAGAATGCGCCCCAAGCCAAGGTGACCCGTAATGGCCAGTCGGCGCCACCAGACATGAGTGAACATGACAGGACGCGGACTTAGAAGGCGGGAAACTACGCTTGCATTGCTCTCAAGCCCTAAACTCTCACAGCAGGGATCAAGCGTCACTTCAGGCTTCTCAAACCGATTGTCATGAACACCGTGCGGCAAATGCAACTCTGCTTGTAACAGACTGACCCCCCTTGCATGCTTCTGCGGACGCGCATGGAATCTGAAAGTCGCAGGCCTCAATCTTCGCACTAGAACACATCAGATCCACGGAAACGAGCTCTGCTGCAAACCTCTGCGTGGGCAGGACGTTCACCACCCAGTGTTCCGATCTGCTTCGACACTGCAGTTCGCAATCGACTGGGCACCAGTGGGGAAGATGGACGCAGTGCGAACTATGTCCAGCACGCACGTCATATGTCGCACAACTTTCCGCCAAGGCCAAAGTCAAAGCCAAGTCAAAGGGGAAAGAGACCAAATCGATCCACAAAAGCCTGGATGTTCAGGAAGCCATCAAGGATGCAGTGGGTGAACCCCCCCTGGTAGGAAACGCCCTATGGCGGGAAACACACTCCGCTTGGAAACGGCCCCTGAAGGGAAACGGCCCAAGATTGGAAACAGCCAATCCATTTTTGCAAGCACCCTGACAAGGGAAAC